GTTTCAAGTAATTCCCCCCTTCTATTGCCCCAACATTTGATGTACGCTTTTTCTCTCCCCCCCCCCCCCCCCCGTCTCATCAATGGACATTTTCAGTGAGTTGTATTCTGTAGTTTTGTTTTGTGTATCCCAGTGAGTCTAATTTGCTTTTGTTCTTGTTCTCAGTTTGCCAAATAGTTTTTTTTTTCTGTGTGTTCTCAACTGTGATTTCTATGTCTCCATTCCTCCTCTGAAGCAATGTTTAGGAAGAAAATACAGCAAGAATTAAAAAAATCAACTCTTGCAGTACATTCTGTCTGACTTTATCTGTACTTTTTTTGTTGCTTAATTTAAATTTAACACCACCTAAAGACAAATAGGTACCTGCAAAACAATCACGTGTTATTTTTTTATTTTTTTCTTTCTCCTGACCTATTTATTTATCATCGATGTCATTTTTGTGCACAACCCAACTTTATGTAAATAACTTTGGAGCGTTTCCTCCTGCTGGAGTGGAGCTTTGATTGATCTGAAGGAACAGATCAGTGGAATGCGTTTCAAAATGATGAAATCCGACCAAGACATCATTAATCTCACATTGTTTCATGTCAGTCATAGTTTGAAAAGTCCCAGACTGCCGCTATGCAAACTGAGTAAAAATGTTAGTCGAATTGAATTTAAATAAACTGCACTAATCCTGACTCACGACTGCGAGTGGAATAATCCACAGAGCTTTAATAATTAAAGCCTGTGAGATGTGTCTCATAACTGTAGCAACATACACACACAATAAAAGTGTAGTTAACTTCTGGCGAGACGTCTCTGCCTTATGAGAGACTCTAAAAATGGAAGTCTGTGCTTCCCTTAATTAAATATGTCCACTATGGTTAGCTGATTTCATCAGTGTATTGTAATATATAGAGATATTCAGTGTGAATTCCTGAGTTTAAATGTTGTTTGCATACAAAAATACAGATTTCCTCTTGTGTAAGTTAAAGTTAATATAAAATATGAACTGCAAAAGAGCATAAGGGAAATGTGGGGGCGGGGGAGTTCAACCAATGAGAAATGCTTGAATTCTCACCCACTTTGTCTGATTTGGCATTCATATGCTTTTTCAATAAAGTATTTCATAAAATAACATTTACGTAAGTTTGTCAGTTTTAGGAAAACTCAAATTCTCCCACCATTGAGTTTTAAATTGTGAGATCAGATCTCTATTGTTTCTGATTCTGTCTTTAGTAAAGTAAACAGTGGTCCTAAAATAAGCTTCTGTCTCCCATCTGATTAATTACACTTTTATTTCCCATGCAACCTGGAAGAAGCAGCTGTAATCCTTCTTCCCCGATAAACTAGCGTCACTTAAGGGGAAACAACAATTTAAAACTGGGTTTTATTTCATGAGCGAGATTCCAAAGTCTGCATACCTGTATGTTCTGTGACTGATCTATGTTACAGCAAGTTCCTCCAGGATTATGAAGGAGTTGATGTGAGCATGCTTGTCATTATCCGCAAAAAACTCAGGACCAGTCCAGTTTGGAGCGAGTAAGCCAAGAGGCTTGTTGTAAGAATGAGCCAACAGCACAAAAATATCTCTGCGATGCCAGGACGGCAACATGCTTCTGCAAATGTGTTAAGAATAGACCGACAATAGAGCGTGCTCCTGTCTTCTGTTTTCTGGCGACAGGCGGTTTGGCTGCAAAGGGCAGATGAAGAAGTAAGACGGAGCACTTCATTTGGTCTGTCAAACTGTTGGTTTGTTGGAGTCGGTCAGGAAGGATTTCAACCTTAAGGACTGAGCACACGCTCCAGCTGACCTTTGGCAGGAATGGTAGAGGTGGAAGATGGATGAGTTGAAAGATGTAGAGTGAAGTGTCACCTGCAGGACTTTTTCCAACTTTATTTTGAGAGAGCTTTTAGAGCTTTACGCCCAGTAACCATGGTAGAATCAAGTGTCTCTGAGGTCCTCTTTATCTCTATCAGTCACAGCATCACTTTGATGGGTAAGTCGATTTCTGTTGTCTTTATATCGCTTAAACAATCTGGATGTTTTAGGCTAAAATAAAGTAATATCAAAGCAACCATTTTCAAAGGCTGTGTTTCTTCTCATATTAGTGTTTGATTTATTTATTTCACAGGAAAGGTGTGGCTCATTGTTATGATCTTCCTCCGTGTCCTGATCCTCCTCTTTGCCGGATACCCTCTGTACCAGGACGAACAGGAGAGATTCGTCTGTAACACCATCCAACCCGGTTGTGCAAACGTCTGCTATGATCTTTTCTCGCCCGTCTCCCTCTTCCGTTTCTGGCTGGTGCAGCTCGTCACCTTGTGTCTGCCTCATGTCATCTTCGTCATCTACGTCATCCACAAGGTGTCCAACGCTCTCTCCTTGGCTCTGAACTCAACCGGACATGCTAAAGCTTTTCAACTGTTCAAGGACCACAAGGAGCAGTTCAACAAGATGTGTGTGAATAAGGTGCCGGTGGTGGTTGAGCAGAGAGGGGGGCTGCGGTGCTTCACGGGGGCCTACATCCTCCATCTGCTGTTCCGGACGCTGTTGGAAGCCGGCTTTGGGGCCGCTCACTATTACATGTTTGGGTTCTACATCCCCAGGAGATTCCTGTGCCAGCACGCTCCGTGCACCACCCAGGTGGACTGCTACATCTCCAGGCCCACCGAGAAGACTGTGATGCTCAACTTGATGCTCGCTGTGGCCGCTCTGTCCCTTTTCCTCAATTTTCTGGATTTCATTTGGGCCGTCAAGCGATCGCTGAAGCACAACACCAAGAGGAAGAT